CAGATTGTCTGCATGATACATGTTATTCGATATTTAAGAACTTCATATTTTATCGCAATCAAGTTTAAAAGTGATACCAAATATATATTTCGTAATCAGTTGATTTTCTTCATTTATCACGCACGAATAATGTTGAATGTACTTTTTATACAAATATGCACAACTTTTTTAAAATAATAATGATGTTTAATACTCATGCATGATCAATGATGAAAAGAGTATTTTAATATAAAATATGTGAGTACAAAACATTGAGAACTTTGTACTGGAAATAATACATTAGGAAATAGAAGTACATTTGAGGGTTATATTTTATAGAAGACATAATATATACTAAAACCATCGTCAAGCTAAATAATGTACTAAAACAATTCAATTTTTGATTTTTAAGTGAGATGTAATTTGTTTTTATAGTTTATACATTTTAATAATATTCAATAATAATGAGGAACGTCCTGATAAAAGAGCATATGATAGGATACAACTGAAATCAATCAACAACATAGATTTTAACATATCATCTTACGGTTTACTATATTCTTTATTATGAAAAGCAATATTAGAATGATAATAACATACGAATCAAATATATATCTGAAATAATTTCTAGTTTTACATTAACGAATTATGTTTGTATGCTGAATATCTTCATTAAAATATTCCAGTTAACGAACGTTAATCGTTTTTTCATAATCTATGACTCAATCATTTATGTTTTGGTAAATGTTAAATGCGAGTGATATAAATATAAAAAGTTTTTTGTCCACGTCGTTGTTTTTGTTAAACTGAACCAGTTGTATTGTTTGTCGAATATTCATCAAAGTAACAAAACCAAATATTAACATCAATACATGTGGAATAATACCAAACCAAAATACCAAAAACTATTTTCCTTTGACTAAATGACCGAAGTCGAGCACTTACTGAGGATGACATACATCGATCAATAGATGATAATAATACAAAATAGGTAGCTACAAGAATTATTATCGAATTTTGTGGAAGAAATTTTCATGTATGTAAACAATAACTAATAATGAAAAATAATATATGAGCTTACTAGTTTTTGAATTCTACTCAGTAAGTATTTTATAACTGAGCATTAGAGACTGTATTGTATATCCTTCTATCATTTTTGATATCCATTGGGTAGTGCATTTAACGAATTGAATACAAAGCAGAAAGAGAAAAAAAAAGAATTCGTTGTACTTTAATTATATAATGTTCATCGAAAAATATATTATAAAAACAAAATTCTTTCCATTTTATTGAAAATACTAACAATTATCTTGAATGAATTACTTAGGCGTCGTTCAAAGATCTATTTTTACAATTCGTTCTATACGAAATTCTTCGAATATAACTATACCATCTTTAATTGATTCTTATCCAATAGAAGCTACAATATTTGAACCACCACCATCATCATCATCTTCTTCAAATTCAATATATGTTGTTATCTCAGAAGCAACAGGTAATCGTCGTCAATTTTATTTTCCATTTGCAAAATATTTAAGTGAACAACATAATCTACATGTAATAACATATGATTATCGTGGAACACATGTACGTAAACCAACCGAATGGACACTTGTTGAACATTGGGCTCGACGTGATTGTGCAGGAGTTATATCATATTGCTTTGAAAAATATAAACAAGTCGTTCATATTGGTCATAGTCTTGGTGGAAATATGCATGCTCTTTTACCACCTTTTATAAACGAAAAAATTTCTCGAATCCTTCTTATTTCCTCAGCAAATTCTTATTTAATGTATCACAAATGGAATTTATCTTTTCCTAAAACATGTTTTTTACTTTATGTTATTCGTGAACCACTTCATTGGCTTTATGGATATTATCCAATACGTACTGTTTTTCGAACAGGTGTTGATATGCCAACTAATATTATTCGAGAATGGGCTCGATGGTCATTATATCGTCAATGCTTTGTTGATAAACATGGACAAATGTTAACGGATGGATTTAATTCGGTCAAATGTCCCATTTTAGCTATAAATTTTGCCGATGATGAATTTTATACACGTCAAGCATTTGATATATTTACTAAACAATTTAATCAATCATCAAATATACAAACGAAACATTTACCTAAAGGTGGTCATTTTAATTTTTTTAAAGAAAATCAATCATTAAAACTTTGGCAAGAAGCTGTTCAATTTATAAAATATGGTCATACAAAAAATCTTTTCGATGTAAATAAATAGAAAACTTTTTTTTCTGTATAAGACTTTGTATATTTTTTAATAGAAAAAGAAAAATATTGTTAAAACGAATAATATAACATAGAAATTTAAAAAACAAAACAACTATATTTATATAGAAGTAAAAATTATGTTTGTTTTGCACGTACTATTCTAATTGATGCGTGATGTTCGATAGCACAAATAATCATATGTTCAAGATATGAATCTTTACTTGAAAAACATTGATAACATAACTGACATTTGAATATGATCTAAATAGAATATATTTTAATTGAGTTTCTATAATTAAAAAAAACAAAAATACCATTGAAGAGAAAGAATGATGAATACTTGATCGATTAGAAAATGATAAATCATCATTATTTGTATAAATTTTTCTTCTCTTTGAAAATTTGTCGTGTTCAATACATTTTCGTTTAGGTAGAATCGGTTTGATAGTAGTACTAAAACTTGAGAAAATAAAAATAAATATATATATTTTTTATTATTAAATTCATACTTATTTTCTATAATTATTGATGAAGTTTGTTGATCGTACCGTCCTGATGATATTCGATTGAATAGTTGACCCATTAATGTGAATGTATTTTTGACAATAGATTGAAATAATATGACTATATATACATATAATAGCTGTAGGGAGAAGAAAAATGAAAAGAACACGATTTGTCGTTATCATAGTGAAGGGTCAATGTACAATGAATTCATTGTCACAATTGGAATAGAAGAAAAAGAAAACGAAACGAAGGACAAGCATTCAGTCTCACGTACAATGTTACAAGAATAAGAGAAAGAAAAATTCATGATTTCTTTGTTTCTTATTATTAATGAATGAAACGAATATGAGAAATCTATTGAAAATTGTAATAACTCAACATTATATTTGAGTGTTACAGATAATTTTTAAAATTAAATAAAAATATATCTTTTATCGTTAAACAAGGGTCGATTATAAACAAACAATAGTATTACATTAAGTATATATGTACTTGAATATTTTCAAGATTGTATCGAACATATACACTATAAGTAGCTATTAACACAAACATATCTAAAGATGATGAAAGAATTTGTATTTACTAATTAACGAGTATGATATATCACTGTATACAATGGTTTTTTATATTCCTAACTTGATGGTAATTACAATCAAATTCTATCTATGACATTATAAACAATTTTTATGTTTGATGAAAGTACATCTTTGATCTGTATGATTGTTTTATTTATCATAATGAGATAGACTTTGTTTGTGGATTATTCAATATGTGTTAACAAAATAAATTCGATTTTATTTAATTATTAATCTTCAATTGATTGTGGATGAAAGTAAATATACTTCTAGCATTGACTTAATTGAGATAAATACTCTTAGTATTTTACCAATGACTATTATTAAACTGAACAATCATATAATTCTAAAATAAGCCACAGAAAAACATTTTTCTTATCTTTTCATTAATTTTTAACATCGTTCTAGAATCATTATTTTCGCTACGTCCTAACAGTCAGTCTGAAGTGTAACTAATATCCTGTTATTTTTAATCATATATTTCATGTTTTTCTCTGCGGTATTTCCTTTCAAATTAATTTACCTAAAGACAGACAAAACTTTGATCAAATCAAGCGTCTAATTGCATGTTATCTCGTTCATAATACTGAGAGACAAAAAAAAGTCTCTTACGTTTTAGTTTGAGGTATCAACGAAAAGTACGCATGTTAAAATTTGATAATAATTACTATTAGTAAAATTGAGGAAGACTATTCACTCAAATAAATTTCATCATATAAATGTCTGGTGGAATTTTGTAATACGTGAAAGCTTACACTGATAGTGAAATGAAGCGAAATTTTGTTTTGTAATCAAGTAGAAATGATTTAGTTTCCGTTCGATTAACTTTTAAATAATCTGATGCGTAAGAATTTTTCAAAAAAAAGACGCATAATTTTAAATATTTCAACTCAAAATATAATTCTTCATTGAAAGAATTTTTTGCCGTCTTTATTTATTATGCAAATAAATAGATCGTCTATTGTTAATGTTTTTTTTGTCGGATCGATTAAACAGAAGTTAATCTTAAAAATATGACATAATCACAAAGTTACTTGAAAATAAATCTTATAGTTAACTTTGTGCGAACTCTTTACTGATTCTTGAATATAATTTGTTTTTATTCATTTTTATTCCTTCCAATCAAATCATCTATACTATTCTAATAGTAACCATCCATATTTTGTCTTTTAAAAATTTGGATTTTTTTTATATGTACTGTCAATGTCAAAATTCTCGTTAGTATTCTAATAAAATACTCTATTCTGTCAATGATAGAGATGTTGAATTTAACATGAATTACTCATGTTATGTGTCCTTCAAATAGTACTCAAGGACATCAGACATTATTTGAACTAGTTCCCTGAGACTACAATTTAATTTCATAGTAATTATGATCAACTAAGTGTACTTAAAACCGTGAATTGATGCTTTTTATTTCTTCATAATATTATTTTAGATTCTCATTTTAATAGAAAATAAACTATTTCATCATAGACCAACACTTCCATAGTCCTTTTTTCTCAAGTGTCAATTTTGAATAAAAGTGAAATTATTCATATAAATATAATATTAGAAAATATCAAATCGAATGCATTCAAAACATACGTAAGGTAAGTCATTTTATTTTCTATTCTATTTTATCAAAACAGATGCGATGATGATATTGAAAAATATATGAAGTAAAACTTCAAAAACAATATAGAATTGATTTTCTGTTTAGATGGGTACATTTTCTGGTTATTCATCAAATATTTTAACAATTAAAAATTTTCCATTGTTATTCAATGATAATGATCGAAGAGAGTTTTTAGAACACTTCGGTGCTGTTCGTGTACATTGTTTAACTCGATTAAAAAGTATGTCCAATATTATTATTGCTGATTTCGGGGTACATACACAAGCATCTCAAGCTCTTTCACGTTTACATCAACTTGAAATACTTGGTCGTCGATTAATTGTAGAATATTGTTTATTAGAACTAGCTTATTTAGCATTTTCTACTTCGTCACCTTTAAATATTGATATTGACAATAGTTTATTACATGGCATTTCACCAGGTAAAAATCAACTTCGATATTCATTACCATCAGATAGATTGTCATATACTTATCCACCTATTGATGAAACAATATTAAAAAATATTAATAATGCTCTATTGTCGATACCTGCTTTTTATACTCAAGTTCTTCATCTTATGAATAAAATGTCACTTCCATGTCCTATGATTGTTGGTAAAAAAAACTGACTTTATTATTATTTATTTATTGATGATCATTTTCTATATGGGTAGATTCAAATAAAAATCATCGAACTTTATCAACTAATACTGTAGCATGTCAAACGAATGAATCTTCTGAAGTAGTTAATATGGATACAGATGATGATGAAAGTGAAATAGATGATGGTGAAGAAGAAGAACGAGTAAAACAACATCGTCGATCAATTTTACGAGCAGCAATTCATCAAACAACAGTATCAGCAACACAAATGGATGTCACAATGGATGTTAAAACTAAGAAAAAATCAACAATCAAACTTATATTACCTCAAACACTTGACCGTTCTCGTGTATGCTATATCAAAACAAGAAATTTTAATAAATCATATAAATTATATTAATTATTATTTAGAAAGAGGATAATCATGCAACATTAACAGATAAGACTGTATATAATTTCGGTCGACTAGAACCAACTCAACCAATTAATAATTCTATCATACAAGAAGAAGAAGAACAACAACAACAACTGTCACCACTTCCTCTCATTCCACTTGAAGAATTAGTTAGAAATCGTTTAAGTGAAGATCAATTACGTCTGTTTGATAATGGTCGTTTATATCGAAATTATCAACGTGGTCAACCTTCTCAACGTCTCTATATAAAAAATATTGATATAAAAAATGTTAACGAACGTATCTTACACTCTCTATATGATCGTTATAGACAAAATTCTTTTGAAATTGATATACATCTTATGCGTGAAGGTAAAATGAAAGGTCAAGCATTTGTAACATTTCCTAATGAAGTAATGGCTTTAAATGCATTAAATGATACAAATGGTTTTATCTTACATGAAAAACCAATTGTTGTTCAATTTGCGAGAACAGCAAAACCAAAAGACATTATTTGAAGATAATATGTGTTATTTTATTTGTTTTTTTTTTCTTTTTCAAATTAACATAGATTAGAAAAATTTATTTTGATTGTTGTTGTTTATTTTAATAAATATAAAATCTTCATTGCAGACAAATAATGACACGTATCAGTTGGATAAATGGTCTTGTTGGTGGTCTTTTAATATCATCTTGTTGTGTTATTCAATTAATTTTGAATTTATTTGGTATTGGATGTGCTGGATTAAATACTCTTCTATTACCTTATCGACCATTATTTATTTCATTAACTATTATTTCATTAAGTTATTCATTTTTTCGTTATCGTCCATCAAAATGGCAATTTACAATTATTATTAGTATTACATTATTACTTTCATTTTCACCTGAACTTCTTCGAATTTATAATAATCAATTTTCAACAAATAATACAATAGATCATGACTTGATTATTACTCATTGGGAAATATTAGGAATGCATTGTGAAGGTTGTCGTTCAGCTGTTATTCAATCATTACGAAAACTTAATGAAGTTCTTAGTGTAAATGTTGATCTTGAAACTGGTAGAGCTAAATTAACTTCACGTAATACTTTAGATACAGATGCAGTAATTCAAGCTGTTCAATCAGCTGGTTTTCAAGCGAAGAAACTTATGTGAAAAAATTTGATTTACAAAAGTTGATAGTTTAAAAAAAATGAAATAAATTTTATGATGAAATTCATAGATATATTCTATGTAAAACATAATGAATATAAATAAATAAAAATCTATTACTGATAAATAATTAAAGTAACATCTACAAAATTTAGTTGGTATATTTTAATTTATGGAATAAATGGCAAGAAGAAATTTCCTTATATATTATTCAGTATAAGTAAATAAATCATAATTTTTTTTTCAACATCGATCAAACAGAATAATTTTGGCAATAAAAAAAAACCTTAGAAATGCATAAATATAAATATTTTTACTAATGTATGAGATCGAATGAAACGGTAAATTATAAATAATAAAACTGACAAATATTAACAATATTAAGACTGTCAGAAAAATAATGACTGTAATTATATGAGCATAATTTTCAAGTCAAAATAGAATTATTATTGAGAATAATCTGACTATTAGTGACCTCTTTCATGTCAATAGTGGTTATTGATCGAATAGCGGATTGTATGTTTCGTATACCATTCGTTTCGCGTCATTGTACAATTATATGATTAACACATATACATAACCCACGCATATGCGCATGCTACCTTGTGTTTTTTCATGCAAATGATAAATAACTGAAGAAAGCAATACTCGTTCTGTTTCATATAAGCAAGTAACTTAAAGCTATTAAGATAGTTTTTCGAAAGAAACATTAGTTTTTTATGAGAATTATCGATGCATATGTCTATGTATGATTGCATTTTGAAAGCTGTTACATCTAAAAAAAGAAAAGTCAACTTAGTCCGACAGCTGTTGCTTTCGTCCGTTTGATTCTTCTATTGATTTGTTTTTTTTCTTCATTTTGGAGCTTTGCCAAGTGATCATTAATATGTTTCAGATTATGTTATACTTTTCATTCCTTTTTCTTCTACCACATTGATATATTTCAATATTTTACTGATTGGGCAATATATAAGCACCATTCCCCGTTTATTTTTATTTTTGTCTACGCAAGTAATGGAATAATCTGTATCAAGCTAAGTTCTATACAATAGTGGCAATGATACACTCGGTCTCAGCACGTGTTTTTTCACCATTCGTATTTTTTCTACTATTCAGTAGTCATCTTCTTCTTCTAAACAAACACAATACATGCTTGGCTCTTCGTTTTCAAAAAGGTACGTGTATCGTTTTGTTTTTGTATTTATCTCGAAAGTATAATATCGTCAACGTGTCAGTACGTTGACAATTATTATGACATCTTTTTTTTTCGCCTACGCCTATCTTTCAGGTATTTCATACAAAATATATTCGTACATCAATTATTAACATTAACATCACTTTAGAGATCAAACGATTTGTTACTGAAAATCGAAGTAGACATTGATCGAATACTAAATTTTGTCTTTTTTTATTTATATATTCACTAATGATAGTAATTTTGTCGATAGAGAAAAGGTAGTCGAAAGTATGAAGAAAATAAAAACACCCTCAAACTGACTTACAAATGTGCTTTTTTGATAAGATCAAATAGTGGGTGTTGAGAAGTAATAAATAAAACAGAATGACAAGAAAATGGTACTCTTTACAATTAAAAATTAATCTATTGATTGACATATGTTTGAGTTGTTGTCGTATAGAGGTCAAAAGAAAAGATATAAAACACTGTTATAATTCTCTTTCGACACTATAATACATAATTTACATTTAAGAAAAACTTTGTATTAAAACAGTAAAAAAGTATTATATAAAAACGAACGAGTTCAAATTAAGAAAGAAATACTCATTTATGAGTACATGAAATTGAACTCATTTCTTTTCCTCGTTATCCGATGATGTCATCAACAATCGGACGATAATCTCATTTCATCGATTATTACTAACGTCATTACTGCATGTTGAGTGTCATTCTCATTGAATATAAGATAGTAAGTTGAAGAATCGAACGAGCGTTTTTTTTTTGTCTCTGATGGTATCTTCCATATCCTTTCTTGTTTTCTATCTTATATATTCAATAGAAATACAAGCATAGCTTATTCTATGAACGTCATCACTGTCGCTCGAGAAAAAAGCGAAGAAAGAGGAAAAAAAACGGCGAGAAAAAAGAAAATCCTCTGTATAGAATAGAATTCGAACAAAAACAAGAACTCTATCATTATCGGCACACATTCACATGCTGACAATGTCGATCAAACGGTCTACGTACGTGTGAATCGACATACACGCATATAACATCATCAGTAAAGATAATTGTAATATTACCATAAAAATTTCGTCATATATATATATATATATACATATAAAATAAAAAGTGAATGATGAAAAAATTTATTAGTAACAATGTCGCTATTTTAATCCTTGTTATCATAACAATAACTGATGCTGCGCGCATATTTTACCTTCCTCTACCAAAAATACATCCGTCACATCATGAATTAAAATCAACACCAACTGTACAAGACTCCGAAACAAAAATACGTGAAGAAAAATCAATTAGTAATGAATTTATACCTTTGTCGGCAATGGAACGATATATGTATCAGGAACAAGATGAAGGTGAATGTAATAATTTATGTATTCGTGTTATTAAATGTTAAGTTTTGTATTTATTGAAGATAAGCGTTATTCACGTTCTAGAAACATGGACATGAGAAGATTATTTTCTGATAATAATAACATTTCCACTCTATAATATTTCTTTTATTAACTTTATCTATTGATTTATCCAGTGTGGATGAATATAACTTTCAAGATAGTATTTATTTTTATTTTTCTTAGAAGGAGATATTTCCAATCGGGGTGATATAACGGATACAGATACAGTAGCTAGACAATATATTGATGTTAATGAACTTCCATCAGGTATGAGTTATAATATTCTATTTAATTCTAAAAATACTTTAATTTTAATTTTATAGAAACTGAAAGAAATTTGGCATCATCGAATTATGAAAATCTAAGCAATGATGAAACAAACGGCGATGCATCATGGCTTGCAGATACTGCTAATAGTGTAGTAGCACGTTTACAATCGAGTGATGTTTTAGATGACGCTGCACAAAGACAAAAACGTAACGATACATTATTTCTTGGTAAGTTTTTTATTAATATAATTATCCTTATATTGAATAAGCTCTATTTGGATAGTTAAATAAGATTTTAGTAATACTATTATTTCTATACAAGACATCATAGTTTATATATAAACAACGAAAAATAATAATCATTATAAATGTAAATCAAAAGAAACATTTCATTTGCATATTTATATCGAAATTTATCGAATAAATTGTTTTCAATAAGAATATGAATTATATTTATACACTTATAAAACTCCGCTATTTCTTTTTATAGATTAAGGCGTAATTTTTTGTACAGAAAAAAACATATTCTTTCTTTTTTATTTAATAGCGATTGTTGGTAGTTGCAGTTTAGTTGGTGTTTTGGGTCTCGTCGCTGCAGCTGTTTTTTGGTACAGGTATGTAAATAATTATAATAATAAACAAATCAGTTTTGATTTTTATTAGAAAACTTCTAAATTTTTAAATAGTAAATTCATAAGTTCTAATTATAATAAGTGCCAAGTATTAGTTAGAAGAAACTATAAATAAACAAGATATTTCAATATTAAGGATAACATATATAATTATTTCCTCAAGCTATATGTTGATAGAAGATACTATGATTAAAGGAAATTCCTGTTGCTTTTCCTTTCTCAGTTAGATCAGGTGTAAAGTCTAGAAAAGAGAAGTATGACTTAATTTCATTTTTGTACGGTTGATTAGAAGCATGTCGTAATATGAAAAAATTCAATTTTGTTAATGTTATAAGATTATTAGTTAATTAGAATAAACTTGATTAAAATATCATTCTTTTTCTTATCAATTAGTTCTTAAAATAAACTAAAAACAAAATATCGAATATTCTCGGTATTGCAAAGGTGTTTTTTTAAATACGCAATATCTATTTATAATATTACATTTAGCGAGAGAGAGAGAGAGAGTATCATTCATAGATTATATTAATTATTTATCACTTCTCATTTTTAATATCTATATAGTAATAGGAACATTAAAAAAACAATGTATCAGATGCTTAATGTTGTTTTTCGTTTTGATAGAATTCAAAAACAAGCTGAAGCACTTGAAAATGAATATCCATCGTATGGTGTTACAGGACCTGGTACTAGTGGCAGTAAAATCTCGCCAAGTGCAACGATATCTGATCGAAAATTAGCTCAAAGTGCTCAAATGTTTCATTATCAACAACAACGACAACAAATGATGGCCCAAGAAAAGTATGTGTGATTATATTTTTAGTTTACTTTAATTTAATATATGTTTTTTCGTAGAGCACATCTCGATGCCAAACCTGTTCATTCCGATGATTCAGATGATGAAACACCTGGTGGTGGAGATTATACAGTCTATGAATGTCCTGGTCTAGCTCCAGTACGTTAAAATCTTATTAATTTCAATCTTGAAAAAGACAATTTTCTTGTTTTTGTTTTATAGACGGGTGAAATGGAAGTTCGAAATCCACTTTTTGCTGAAACAGATTCACCTTTAACACCAACAACATCTACATCTCATCCAGCAACTAACAACCATTATCCTCAATTATCGACAACACTTCCATTATCATCATCACCACCACCAGCAGTACAAGAAAAATCATCATCATAAAATTATGTATCACATCCATATTCCCAGCATCTTTTTTTTTTGGTGATTGGTTATCTATCCTACTTTGCTTTTTTTTCCTTTTTGCTTTTCTCGACAGGAAATCTATATGGATGAAAATTTCACTTAATAATCTATATTTTTCATTTATGAAGAATTGAAATAATGACTAAATGTTTTTTCTTCTTCTTTAAATCCAGAAAAATAAAGTGAAATAACCGATATATTAGACTAATGAATTGGTTTTATCGTATCAATATCAGTATTATGTACAACAGCATCTAAATTATATTTTGTCCATTGATGAAATAGATCAGTAATAATTGTTGCTGTCTTTTCATTTAAATGAAAAGTATTAAGAAGAAATATATAAAAATCTTCAGGAGTATCATGTATAAGAAAACGACCAAGTAAATCTTGCATTGTATAAATATTAATTAATTTCAATTGTTTAATGTCATCAACACTTATATCTAAAGAAAAGATATTTGTATCTCAATACTAATATTCATTTGATATTTTTCTCAATTATAATTATCATTATTTTATAATAAAACAAACTCGAAATATATCAATATGAATGCTTTTATAAAACCATTATAACTAAAATATTGATTGTTCTAAATTTTATTCGAAAATGATTTGCCAATAAAAACATACTTCTTGTTGTTATAGAAAAATACATCGATATGTCATATTTTTCATTAATACATCCTGATAATACTAATTTAAATCTTATGGATTCTTCTCTTTTTCTAGTTAATAAATATAATTGTATCTAGTCTAGAATGTTTTTTGAAAAATTATAAGATAATATTGATTCTCGAATTCGATAATTATTTATTACTATGTTTTTTCCTGAATATTACACATAGCAAATATATTCAACGATAAAATCATATCGCAAAGAAATTGTTTATCTAACTCGAGACATTTGTTTAAATATACTGAGAATTTACAGTATACTATTTAATTAATTTAAAACGATACTATACTTGGCAATTCATCAATATTTCTATTGCATAAATGTGCTCGATAAAAATTATCTTGTGTCAATGATTCATAATGTAATTCATTATGATTAGTTTGATGTACAATAGCCGTAGATTTTGAATCTAATGATAATTCTTTTGTATTATTAATCTTTTCGACAGCAGTAGATTCCATACATATATCTTTATTTGTATGTTTACATTTTTGTAAAATATTATTAATAGAAACAAGAGCATCATACATATTATTCAAAGGATCCATATATCAAACTAATACGAATATTAAAATTTATTCTTTAAAATAAAATAAAGATTATGAAAAATAATATATGTTCACACAAACACAGCACGCGCGTATTTTATAGTTAAGTTCTTTTGATTATGCATGATCATTATATTTTCTAGGGCAGAGACCAGCTGTATGAGTATTACACATGTTATCATAACAGCATATATAATGTTTAGCATCGCATTTAACACTTTTATCAAAAGCTTCACCAAATCCAAAAGCACCACGTTCAATAGCAACACCTGTTTTTGGATCAAAATGCTATTAAATACAAAAAGAGCAAGAACAAAGAATTTAAATAAATTTATTTTTGTCTACTTACTGTATAGCAATATAAATTGTTGGCACCAAAAATACTTGATGTTCGAAGTTCCGTTCCTGAAAGTTTGTCTGGTCGACAAGCTTCTGCACCTTTACATTTATAGCATGCTTTGACTTCTTTTCTCGGTGTTGGACTAGCTATAAACAAAAAAAGAATACTGTTTTCTAAGTTAAAAGATTAATAAAACGAATCAATACGTACGTGCT